GCGATACGTGGTATCAGGAAATAATGAATAAAATTTACAAAAAAAAAAAAAAAAAAACGAAACGTTAACTAGCTGCACCGAAGCTATAATAACTTTCACTGGTGACAATATTTCAGATTGATATCTCAAAACTGTAGGAATACAGACAGGCCATGGCATGGCAAAATCGACTCAGTCATAACTCAGTCTCAGATTCGTCATACTAATCATTTATATATATATGTATGTACATACTTTATAGGGTCTCTGGCGTTTCTTTCTGTATCACAAACTTCGTGGCAAACTTAATTTGGTATCCCAAGGTATAAAAACTTCATAACGAGATATTCTTATGTACTTAGCCCTTTCGGTCTTTTCGAGTGTTATTCATTATATTTCCATCATATCGGCCGAATGGCTTCATAACTATTTAGCTTTTACATCAACTTTATATACCCAACATGGTCAACAATATATACCACATATATAAGTATGTACATCCAATATATTGTAATTAAATACGGAGGAGTTTACTTACGCTTTCTTCACTTCGCTTTCTGTCGCATTTCGCGATATGTCGAGAACTTTGTAATAATCGACCATTTTCTGTAATGTGGTTTTAAAGATTGGTGTATTGAAGTGAATTGCAATGTGAATGTCTTTAAAAAGGACGTAGCCCCTTATACCTCTTGCTCTCACTTGCCTAAATGTAACTTTTTAAACAGTGATTTACCTAGAATAGATAGAGATATTTATAAGTTGCATATTTAATTTCTGAGCTTTTATAAATAACGAACGAACGGCTGTTTTCCACGAAAACATTTTAAAGTATATATTTTTAATATTGCAGAAATATTTATCTTCTAAAATATACAAATGATATTTAAATTTACTTTCGATTTCGTAGAATAAACCTATTATTAATATTTCTTATAAATTGATATTTTAGGGTTACATGGCTTTCACGACTCCAAAAATCGATTTACTACGATACTTTTTATTGTATCATTTATTTCTATAACATCCCTAGAAATTGTCAAAATGCTCAAGTTGATCCGAGTAATAGTTTCGGAGATACAGCCTTGGTCGAGGGCAGCTGTATAGTCACTTAAAATGGTAACGCATTTTTCTCGAAAGTGTGTTTGCAAAGTCGGTTGTCAAGATTACTCGCGGATACTCAACCGATCTTAATGAAATTTTACACAGTCTTCGAGATATAATTTACAAAATCTAAAACGAAGTTTTTCAGTTACAGCGATATGAGCAAAGTGGCGTGAAATTTTCACCAAAATTAAATTTTTGCCCTAGTTTATGATCTTAGTTAAAAACGTATTTTTTCTTTTACTTCAGATGTTCCTGTAAGAAGTTCTGCTTTCAACGAGGGACTGGCGGAAATGACCGAGTATGGCCGAGTTTTTAATATTTTCTTTTGAAAATTTGCCAAAATCTTTAAAAATATGCATCTTTGGAATAATAAAAGTGAATAAAGTATTTAATTTTTCCAAATAATATTTTATTGAAAATATAGTGTTTTTGTTCGTGGAAAACTATGTAACCCTTTATATGGAATAAGTGTAATTTTGATTAATAATAATACAGTGCGTTAAATAATAAAATTTTCGTTTCCAAAGTGTTGGTAGCGTTTATTCGGAAAAATGTATATATAGAAAGTACTCGTTTTGTTACAGCTGACATTTATTCAACACTTGCTCCAATCTCCCGCGTTGTATATTATAGCCTGACATCTGATGGCAACTCGCAACCAAATTCCCGCATATTCCATAGGAACATACGTCCAGGTATGTTGGAGTAGCCGAATGAAGTCTTCTTGTGACATTAAATGTTTTCTTGATATTTTGGCTTTCATTAAAGTCCAAACGTTCTCTATTGGATTGGCGTCTGGTGACTGTGATGTTTAATCTAAAGTAACAATATTGTTTTCTTGTTTCTATTGAGTACAGAGTCTGCTCTTATGTTTCGGATCCATTGTCTTCTTGCATATGCAATCATGGTTATTTTTGCCGTAAACATTCCAGCTGACTTCAGTAAACCCGTTTTTATCAAATTTTATCATTCTTACGACTTTCAATTATTATTTATAGGAGAAAACTTGAGAAAAATGTGAATCGTAATACATATGGACTAAATATAAATATATTCATAAAATGTTTGAAATAAACAAACACAAAAATTTAGCATATTTTACTCCCACAACTTGTACCTACAACGACGTACTCGTTGTTGTCTTTAATAGAACTATGAATATTGAAAGATATGAAACAGTAAACTATATATGATATATAAGGTAAATTAAGATGAGTCATTGTTTTATTCTGTGCTGGTTAATCTTTCTGCAATTAAATACTTGTATCGTGTACATAAAAGTTTTAATTCAGTTAGGTACAGATGATACTTATTTTAGGTTTTCGAAAGTTCTTAGATCAGTACAGTGACACATTACGCGAAACAATTTTCGGTCTGATGTGAGACCCCAAAAGTAGTTCGGAAAATGTTTTACGAAAATTATAATCACTTTTAAAGCTATTTGCAAATTACCGCACGCACCAGCGATCTTTCTCTGGCTAAGGATTGTTTTTAAACGAGTTGAGTGCTGTCAACCAGAGTTAGTTAATAAATTAATAGGAAAGAAATATGTATATTGAAGTATTTCTGTATCTTCCTAACCTACAATAGCTTTTAAGTTGTAGAGAAAGATTTTAGACCCGTATTAGGCATGCATAGTTGCCGTTAGAAAAGAGTTTTCTAAAATTTACACCATTACATTACGAGGAAATATCGACTACCTACCATATTACATTTAGTGTATATAATCGATTACTATTAAATCTGGTTATTGAATTTTGCTAAAACGAGAAAAAACATAATTTCGGTAGCACCAAATCTATAACACCCTTCACAAATACAAGATTCCAAAAATAAATGAACTTTATGCCGATCGTTCGGTTTTTTGGCAGCTATATGATTATAGTGATCCGATCTGAACAATCTTTTCGGAGATTGCATTATTGTCTTAGACATAACCCGTGTCGAATTTCCTCGTCAAATTAAAAAGTTTTCCATACAAACACTTGATTCCGATCGCTCAGTTTGTATCGCAGCTATATACTATAGTGGCCCGATATCGGCAATTCCGACAAATGAGTAGCTTTTGGAGAGAAAAGGATGTGTTTAAAATTTCAGATCGATATCTCAAAACTAAGGGACTAGTTTGCGTATATACGACAGACAGACGGACATGGCTAAATGGACTGAGCTGTCATGCATATATATATATTTTTAGGTTATTAGGGTCTCCGAAGTGGCAAACTTAATATACCCCTTTTAGGGTATAATAATTTCTCGCTTTGAACTCGCGAGTGAATCGAGATCCTCTGCGTTTACATGTACACAACAGCTGCGCTGTTCAGACTTCATGCGAGCACCAATCACAAATCAGTTTAGGTACATACCGGCACTTCAGTACATTTAACAAAAATACATCAATACACAAGCAATTTCTATTTGCATATAAATGTGCCTGCCCAATACATACGCTAAATTTTAACGTTGACGTTGGGCATAGCTCATTTAAAGAGAACATATTAGTGAATAGCTGAATCTCCCAATCATCTACAGCTAGTTCTTAAATTATCAAAACACCAACACGTAATGCTAGACCACCAACGCAACAACTAAGCACATTCTAGCTATTTTGGTAATATAGTCAATCTACATACAAAATCTGGTTTGTGTCCATAGATATAACATATAGTATTTCTTTTATAATTTTAACAGCGGTGACTCAATAGAGACGTTTTATATTTCAGTGAAGGAATTTGTATGCTAATTATTATATTTGTATATACATTATTATATTGCATATAGATTTAACTGAATATTTGCTATTTCTTAAATTTATTTGTAATATTTAAACCTGTGACCTTTTATTAACCTTTATTAGGTAAAGAAATATTTCAAAGAGTTTCTCAATCAAAACGGAGTATGGAGATAAACAAAGAAGCCCATATTTTATAATATGCTATTATCATAAGTTAGTTATTATACCCTGAACAGGGTATATTAATTTTGCCACGAAGTTTGTAACATCCAAAAGTAAACGGCGGAGACCATATAAAGTATATATATAAATGATCACCGTGACGAGCTGAGTTGATTTAGCCATGTCGTCTGTCCGTCCGTCCGTCTGTCTGTACGCGAACTAGTCCCTCAGTTTTTGAGATATCGATCTGAAATTTTGAACAAGTCTTTTCTTACCAAGAAGCTGCTCATTTGTCGGAACGGCCGATATCGGACCACTATAGCATATAGCTGCCATACAAACTGAACAATCGGAATGAAGTGCTTATATGGAAAACTCTTTCATTTGACGAGGTATCTTCACGAAATTTAGCATGGATTATTATTTAAGGCAATAATCTATTCGCCGAGAAATTGTATAGATCGGATGACTATGCATATAGCTGCCATATAAACTAAACTATCGGATTTAAATACTTGCATGGAAAACTTTTTCATTTGACGAGATATCTTCACGAAATTTAGCATAGGTTATTGCTAGAAGTATTGCAATATCCAAAAATTGTACAGATCGGATCACTATAGCATATATCTGCCAAACAAACTGAACGATCGGAATCAAGTGCTTGCATGGAAAAATTTTCATTAGATAAGATATCTTCTCGAAATCCGGCATGGATTTCTCTCAATGCCATATACCTGCCATACAAACTGACAATCTAAATTAAGTTCTTATATGAAAAATTGTTTACGACAAGTTATCTTCACGAAATATGGCATGGATGATGATTGTCCAAGATATCGCTACAATCTTCGAACGAATTGTTCATATCAGATCACAGCTATCATAGAAACGGACCGATCAAAATAAATTTTTGTATGGAAGTTTTTAGTATGGATTATTCAAAAATTTGAGGGTTTAATTTTCTATTAAAACTATATTACATTTCGGAAAAAATGGGTTCTCTATTTAATGAAAAAAGTAAGTCATGCCAAACTTTGTGAAGATATTTTGTCATATAAAAAAATTGCCCATACAAAATCTTGATTTTGATCGGTCAGTTTCTATGACAGCTGTATGCTATAGTGGTCCGATCTTAACAATTCGTTCGAAGATTGAAGTCATATCTTAAGCAATAATCCATACTAAAAACTTCCATACAAAAATTTATTTTGATCGGTCCGTTTCTATGATAGCTGTGATCTGATATGAACAATTCGTTCGAAGATTGTAGCGATATCTTGGACAATCATCATCCATGCCATATTTCGTGAAGATAACTTGTCGTAAACAATTTTTTTCATATAAGAACTTAATTTAGATTGTCAGTTTGTATGGCAGGTATATGGCATTGAGAGAAATCCATGCCGGATTTCGAGAAGATATCTTATCTAATGAAAAATTTTTCCATGCAAGCACTTGATTCCGATCGTTCAGTTTGTTTGGCAGATATATGCTATAGTGATCCGATCTGTACAATTTTTTTTGGATATTGCAATACTTCTAGCAATAACCTATGCTAAATTTCGTGAAGATATCTCGTCAAATGAAAAAGTTTTCCATGCAAGTATTTAAATCCGATAGTTTAGTTTATATGGCAGCTATATGCTATAGTCATCCGATCTATACAATTTCTTCGGCGAATAGATTATTGCCTTAAATAATAATCCATGCTAAATTTCGTGAAGATACCTCGTCAAATGAAAGAGTTTTCCATATAAGCACTTCATTCCGATTGTTCAGTTTGTATGGCAGCTATATGCTATAGTGGTCCGATATCGGCCGTTCCGACAAATGAGCAGCTTCTTGGTAAGAAAAAGACTTGTTCAAAATTTCAGATCGATATCTCAAAAACTGAGGGACTAGTTCGCGTACAGACAGACGGACGGACGGACAGACGGACATGGCTAAATCAACTCAGCTCGTCACGGTGATCATTTATATATATACTTTATATGGTCTCCGCCGTTTACTTTTGGATGTTACAAACTTCGTGGCAAAATTAATATACCCTGTTCAGGGTATAATAACTAACTTATGATAATAGCATATTATAAAATATGGGCTTCTTTGTTTATCTCCATACTCCGTTTTGATTGAGAAACTCTTTGAAATATTTCTTTACCTAATAAAGGTTAATAAAAGGTCACAGGTTTAAATATTACAAATAAATTTAAGAAATAGCAAATATTCAGTTAAATCTATATGCATATATAATATATGTATATACAAATATAATAATTAGCATACAAATTCCTTCACTGAAATATAAAACGTCTCTATTGAGTCACCGCTGTTAAAATTATAAAAGAAATACTATATGTTATATCTATGGACACAAACCAGATTTTTGTATGTAGATTGACTATATTACCAAAGATAGCTAGAATGTGCTTAGTTGTTAGCGTTGGTGGTCTAGCATTACGTGTTGGTGTTTTGATAATTTAAGAACTAGCTGTAGATGATTGGGAGATTCAGCTATTCACTAATATGTTCTCTTTAAATGAGCTATGCCCAACGTCAACGTTAAAATTTAGCGTATGTATTGGGCAGGCTACATTTATATGCAAATAGAAATTGCTTGTGTATTGATGTATTTTTGTTAAATGTACTGAAGTGCCGGTATGTACCTAAACTGATTTGTGATTGGTGCTCGCATGAAGTCTGAACAGCGCCAGCTGTTGTGTACATGTAAACGCAGAGGATCTCGATTCACTCGCGAGTTCAAAGCGAGAAATTATTATACCCTAAAAGGGGTATATTAAGTTTGCCACTTCGGAGACCCTATAAACCTAAAAAATATATATATATGCATGACGAGCTCAGTCCATTTAGCCATGTCCGTCTGTCTGTCTGTATATACGCAAACTAGTCCCTTAGTTTTTGAGATATCGATCTGAAATTTTAAACACATCCTTTTCTCTCCAAAAGCTACTCATTTGTCGGAATTGCCGATATCGGGCCACTATAGTATATAGCTGCGATACAAACTGAGCGATCGGAATCAAGTGTTTGTATGGAAAACTTTTTAATTTGACGAGGAAATTCGACACGGGTTATTGTCTAAGACAATAATGCAATCTCCGAAAAGATTGTTCAGATCGGATCACTATATCATATAGCTGCCAAAAAAACCGAACGATCGGCATAAAGTTCATTTATTTTTTTGGAATCTTGTATTTGTGAAGGGTGTTATAGATTTGGTGCTACCGAAATTAATGTTTTTTCTCGTTTTAGCAAAATTCAATAACCAGATTTAATAGTAATCGATTATATACACTAAATGTAATATGGTAGGTAGTCGATATTTCCTCGTAATGTAATGGTGTAAATTTTAGAAAACTCTTTTCTAACGGCAACTATGCATGCCTAATACGGGTCTAAAATCTTTCTCTACAACTTAAAAGCTATTGTAGGTTAGGAAGATACAGAAATACTTCAATATACATATTTCTTTTCCCTATTAATTTATTAACTAACTCTGGTTGACAGCACTCAACTCGTTTAAAAACAATCCTTAGCCAGAGAAAGATCGCTGGTGCGTGCGGTAATTTGCAAATAGCTTTTAAAAGTGATTATAATTTTCGTAAAACATTTTTCCGAACTACTTTTGGGGTCTCACATCAGACCGAAAATTTGTTTCGCGTAATGTGTCACTGTACTGATCTAAGAACTTTCGAAAACCTAAAATAAGTATCATCTGTACCTAACTGAATTAAAACTTTTATTGTACACGATACAAGTATTTAATTGCAGAAAGATTAACCAGCACAGAATAAAACAATGACTCATCTTAATTTACCTTATATATACATATATAGTTTACTGTTTTCATATCTTTCAATATTCATAGTTCTATTTAAAGACAACAACGAGTACGTCGTTGTAGGTACAAGTTGTGTGGGAGTAAAATATGCTAAATTTTTTGTGTTTGTTTATTTCAAACATTTTATGAATTATATTTATATTTAGTCCATATGTATTACGATTCACATTTTTCTCAAGTTTTCTCCTATAAATAATAATTGAAAGTCGTAAGAATGATAAAATTTGATAAAAACGGGTTTACTGAAGTCAGCTGGAATGTTTACGGCAAAAATAACCATGATTGCATATTGCAAGAAGACAATGGATCCGAAACATAAGAGCAGACTCTGTACTCAATAGAAACAAGAAAACAATATTGTTACTTTAGATTAAACATCACAGTCACCAGACGCCAATCCAATAGAGAACGTTTGGACTTTAATGAAAGCCAAAATATCAAGAAAACATTTAATGTCAACAGAAGACTTCATTCGGCTACTCCAACATACCTGGACGTATGTTCCTATGGAATATGCGGGAAATTTGGTTGCGAGTTGCCATCAGATGTCAGGCTATAATATACAACGCGGGAGATTGGAGCAAGTGTTGAATAAATGTCAGCTGTAACAAAACGATGTACTTTCTATATATACATTTTTCCGAATAAACGCTACCAACACTTTGGAAACGAAAATTTTATTATTTAACGCACTGTATTATTATTAATCAAAATTACACTTATTCCATATAAAGGGTTACATAGTTTTCCACGAACAAAAAACACTATATTTTCAATAAATATTTATTTGGAAAAAAATTAAATACTTTATTCAACTTTTTATTATTCCAAAGATGCATATTTTTTAAAGATTTTGGCAAATTTTCAAAAGAAAATATTAAAAACTCGGCCATACTCGGTCATTTCCGCCAGTCCCTCGTTGAAAGCAGAACTTCTTACAGGAACATCTGAAGTAAAAAGAAAAAAATACGTTTTTTAACTAAGATCATAAACTAGGGCAAAAAATTTAAATTTTGGTGAAAATTTCACGCCACTTTGCTCATATCGCTGTAACTGAAAAAAACTTCGTTTTAGATTTTGTAAATTATATCTCGAAGACCTGTGTAAAATTTCATTAAGATCGGTTGAGTAGTCCGCGAGTAATCTTGACAACCGACTTTGCAAACACACTTTCGAGAAAAATGCGTTACCATTTTAAGTGACTATACAGCTGCCCTCGACCAAGGCTGTATCTCCGAAACTATTACTCGGATCAACTTGAGCATTTATGACAATTTCTAGGGATGTTATAGAAATAAATGATACAATAAAAAGTATCGTAGTAAATCGATTTTTGGAGTCGTGAAAGCCATGTAACCCCTAAAATATCAATTTATAAGAAATATTAATAATAGGTTTTATTCTACGAAATCGAAAGTAAATTTAAATATCATTTGTATATTTTAGAAGATAAATATTTCTGCAATATTAAAAATATATACTTTAAAATGTTTTCGTGGAAAACAGCCGTTCGTTCGTTATTTATAAAAGCTCAGAAATTAAATATGCAACTTATAAATATCTCTATCTATTCTAGGTAAATCACTGTTTAAAAAGTTACATTTAGGCAAGTGAGAGCAAGAGGTATAAGGGGCTACGTCCTTTTTAAAGACATTCACATTGCAATTCACTTCAATAACACCAATCTTTAAAACCACATTACAGAAAATGGTCGATTATTACAAAGTTCTCGACATATCGCGAAATGCGACAGAAAGCGAAGTGAAGAAAGCGTAAGTAAACTCCTCCGTATTTAATTACAATATATTGGATGTACATACTTATATATGTGGGTATATATTGTTGACCATGTTGGGTATATAAAGTTGATGTAAAAGCTAAATAGTTATGAAGCCATTCGGCCGATATGATGGAAATATAATGAATAACACTCGAAAAAGACCGAAAGGGCTAAGTACATAAGAATATCTCGTTATGAAGTTTTTATACCTTGGGATACCAAATTAAGTTTGCCACGAAGTTTGTGATACAGAAAGAAACGCCAGAGACCCTATAAAGTATGTACATACATATATATATAAATGATTAGTATGACGAATCTGAGACTGAGTTATGACTGAGTCGATTTTGCCATGCCATGGCCTGTCTGTATTCCTACAGTTTTTGAGATATCAATCTGAAATATTGTCACCAGTGAAAGTTATTATAGCTTCGGTGCAGCTAGGTTAACGTTTCGTTTTTTTTTTTTTTTTTTTTTTGTAAATTTTATTCATTATTTCCTGACTATATATTTATTTCTTATACAGATATAAAAAGTTGGCACTGAAGTGGCATCCTGATAAAAATCCTGACAATTTAGATGAAGCAAATACGCGATTTAGAGAACTATCTGAAGCCTACGAAGTTTTGTCGGATGGTAAGTTCTTGTAATTTCTTTATTAATTATATTAAAAATGAAATATATGAAAATCAACAACTGCCTTGATTAAAGGTAATCAATATATTTTTTATAGTGCGCTGTGGCAAAAAAAATATATGGTTATTATTATAAATTTGTTCATATCATCATAAGTCACTTCATGTTAATGTTTATGACAAAATTAAAAAAGGGTGAGAGTAAGAGGGGAAAAAATTAAATACTTGTACATACGAATGTTTATAACTTTCCGAAGGGCCATATCATAAGTCTAAATAGCTATATGTGTACTTGCTTGTAGCACGTAGACGAAAAATTTATGATACGCGTGCGACACTGCAGAAGGAAGATTCAAATTACAACTACTCCAAAGGCAGCGGATATACGGGTTGCAGTGGTTATAAATATCGGACCCGTTCTGATCCTAAACGCGACTACAATTGCAACAATAAAGAAGACGAACACGGCAGACATGACAATACTTCAACTAAACATGCGAACCGATATTACTCCTTCACTTTTCGCAATTTATTTGAATGGACACCATTCCATAAATTATTTGGTAAAATAGAACTACCCATTTCGTGGTTTGCTTTTTGGCTAATAATTTTAATACGGCAAATATGTATGTATGTTCTCTCATATTTGTTAACTAACACTGAGCTCCATTTCAATAAACCTACTGAAAATCAATCCACTCTTATACAGATTAATTATGAAATGTTGAAGCTTATTTATAACACGAGGCGTTTTCACATTCAAAATCTAAGGCATAAGCTAAAAAGGATTTTGAACTGATATAAGTAAGTCTGTAGAGTAATATGTTGCCGTCTCATTAAAAATTAAAAAAAAAATATCAATAACTATGGAGATATCACATTCTAATAAGTTTAATCAACGCAAACATGAAAATTCGTTCTAATGGTTGGTAAAGCATAGTTGCTCTAGTCTACACAATGTGTTCTTTATTATTTACGGCTCAGTTACGCTCCTTAGGAAATGAGGACTTGATTTTTGCATTTATACTTTTGTCATTAAGATAGATTAGTTTAAAGTAAAATATATACACTAAATGCTAATATGTAGAACATTTCAGAGTATTTACATTTAACATTTACCAATTAATTTGGAGACATGGTGCTATTTTGATTGTCCTTATCCAAACATGGAGCCTGAACCATTCCGGTCACCTAGACCTGATTTTTATGCGAACAAATTTGATATACAAGTATGGTAAAATAAAAAAAAGTATACATATGTACCAAAAGCATTCATCAGCTAAAATAATACTCGTATTACGGAGTTTAAATGTAATTTAGATCATCACAATGAACAAAATATTTTACAATGTTAGTAATGAATTATTTATATTCAATAATGTGAAAAATTAAAATGTTTAGTAAAAAAGTTTAGGTTTATTTATAATATATTTTATGATAATAGCTGTTGTAAAATATCGAAATATTAGACTTGAAATGTACTTATGGATCGATCTGAAATTGTACAATACTACGCTAAAAGCAAATCAATTTGGACTCTTTTAACATCTTATTAGACGTTGTTGTAATGAAAAAAATGTTTGCACAAAAGTTCCCACTGCTTTAAATTTGGCTTTGAATAACGTGTGGGGACCATGTATCAGTACAATAAGGGTTTGAGTTATTGACGCTGGCATGAAACGTTAAAATGACGATTGCCAACTACAAATTAATAGCGAATGTTAAAAGTGTTTTATTTTACTAAGTAAATAACCATTTCTTGTTGAGTTTGAATTGATTTACTAACATATACATATACTTAATTTGAAACGTTTTGAAATGAATTTATATACTATTATAAACTTACAGAAAAAAAGCGTCGGCTATACGACCAATATGGTAAAGAGGGGCTGTTAGGTGATCGTGGTCATCATCGGTCTTCTCGCCACCATCATGCGCATGACTTCGATGACTTCGACATAATGGGTGGTTTTCCATTTGTGTTTCGGCCACCAGAGGAAGTTTTCCGGGAATTTTTCGGTGTAAATTCGCCATTCGCTGATTTATTTAGAGGTAAAAACCGTGTATGTACTGTTTTATTTTTTTAATTTTGCATTTAATTTCAATTTGGATATGTGGTATGTATATATAGATGCACATGGTTACCCTCAATCAAACAGACCCAATAATGGGCTTAGCAGCAGTGGACGTCAACATGTCGGCACTAAATTGGCCTCACCGTTTGGAGCGCCAATGTTGAACTACTCTATGATGGATTTTATGATGCCGTCAAATGGATTTACTTCATTCAGCTCGTTCAATTCAGTTCCAAATGGAAGGGGTGGTGCGGCAAGTGGCGCCGTCAGACGCACATCAACTTCAACGACATTCGTTAACGGTAAAAAATTAATGACTAAAAGGTATGAATTTTATTTATTTATATTTGTAAATTTTTAATAATTTTATGTATGTGTTTTGAATGCACAGAGTCTATGAAAATGGAAAGGAGACTGTATTTTCATACGAAAACGATGTCCTGAAATCAAAGACTGTGAATGGAGTTATACAGAAACTCTCTTCAATTACAAATTAAGGAAAGTCATAAACTGAATAGAAAGAATAAAAGAGGAAAATTTATCAAAATTATGCCACATGTAAATCTCCTTTCTAAGCCTACTACCATAGATCAGTTAATTTCGTTATTATTTTTATACGAATATCGTTACATATAAATTAATTAGTAATTTATGAAGAGTATGAATTTGACGACTCTCCTCTATTTTATGTTTATTTTTATTATTTATTAGAATCACTATAATTGAGAGATATAATTTTAAAGAGCTATGGATCCACTAAAAGTAAGAATAGAGAAGGCCACTTTCGTTCATATTTGATGAAACGAATTAATTCTCTGAAAAATATGGAATGACAGCTAAAGTCTTTTTTTACTACATACGAATTAATTACACTCAATAATGATTCACCCCGTAAATAAATTTTACATATGTATAAATTTGATTATAAATTAACAGAATTGAAAAACTGGAATTTTAATTTGTTATATTAAGACCCCTATTACGGGTTTCAACCCAACTGCATTTTGGTAGAAGTTTTGAAATTCTGTATTATGGTTTTCAACTCACCCGTCAAAAAAAAATTCGGTTGAAGTGTTGTCAAACTTAACTTTTTTTGGTATTACGATTTTCATCTCTGTGTCAGTGGGGTTGACTAAAGTATCATAAAATTTCAACTGCTAACAAGCTGTTGTAGTTAAACATTAATGATCTTATTTATGAAAAATATTAATTGAAAATGGGTAAAAAGAACTATATCATTAATGATTTCAAACTATTTAAATCAGTGGTTATGTACAAATCCATAGAAAGGTGAAAAATTTGTTGAGCTCGTGGAGTAAAATCCGGAAACTAGAGGAGACAAGCTACAATTTGGAAAGATTAAAATGAAATGAAGAGACCGTGGGAAGTATTTCGAGCATAAAGTGTCGATACAATCTACTACTCCTAGGAATATACTTTTTTAATAAAATAAAATTTTTGAAGCGTTTTGTTCCCCTTTCATGCATTGTTTATAATATTTAAAAGCAGAATTTGTTACAACCATAGATATCGCGGGTTGCTGTAGCTCAAAGTTGAAATCATTTAAAATGCATTCTTCAAAACTACCGGCAGTAAGGAAATGGTGAGTTTGGTAACGTTCTTTCAAATCATTTAGTAAAAAACAAAATGATTCCACATTTAGTCGAAAATAACTTATGAATCTGAAAACTCTGGCTTACTTGGTGTTAGGAAGTTCGAAACCATTTGAGTGACCACGAAGGCTTTCTCATATGCGCAACACATCAGTTTTGGCCCCAGTTTATCATCGTAATATAAATCAAAACTTTTTGTCCATTTTAATAATTATTCACCTTTTGGTGAGCAATAACTAAATTTTTTTAAATGGTTTTGATTTTTCGTTTAAAAATTTTCAGCTGTTTAATTATCAGTCAAATCTTCATTTTTTAGTGAAAATAGTTGAAAATCGTAATACCAAAAAAGAGTTGGGTTGATCTGAAGTTGAATTGCTTCAACTTCAATTAAGCCGAGTGGAGTTGAAAACCGTAATAGGGGTATAAGACTCTGGGCTTAAATATTAACAGTTATAACTGAAGTTAAAAAAACCCAAAATCATCAATAAAGTGGAATATTAAAAAAATTTCCTGTAGAGAAAATAAATTATTTTAACAGAAAAGTACTTTTTACGATTATTTGTCAATTGATCAAATGAATAAATTATCATATAAATTGACATAAGGACTTGCCAACAGCTAAATGAAGTCGGATGAATTATGTTTTTAAAAAGTATATTCATTAATTATAAAGTTTATGGAGCTTTTATTTTATCTTTTACTTGAAATTACAAAATCGACAAAGTATGCTACCAATTGTTAGTAAAGAACAACGGCCATGTTAAATAATGTAACCAATCCGTAAAGGGCGCTGCGCTTCTAAACAGATATGCGACCAAATATGTCCGTATGCTCTTGAATTATTTCGATGATAGTCCCTACTAGACATCCTTATGATGTCAGATATAAATAATGTTCTACTTCGTAATGTATTTTTTATTTTTTGTATACATGGGCAAAGTATATAAATAAATTTAAGCAGTACGAAAGTCATAAAGCCAGAATTGTGAATGTAATGATTTTTAAATGTAAAAAGGGAATAGTTTCAAAAATATGTAGAAGGTAGTGAATTAATTAAAATATAAATACCTAACTAAGAGAAAGAGATGTACTGCAGCTTCAGATATTTAAGTATAATATATGATTTAAGAATAAAGATCTACACTTTCGAAATATACAAGAAATACAAGAAAACATTTGTATCATGTTGCTATTGAAAATTCTTGAATACTTAATTTTTTTAAATACTTGATATTGTTGCAGAACTTTATGTAAAAAGGTGCAAATTTTTCACAAAGATGTGTTCACTACATGAAGTAAATTACTTTTACGATGACCCCCCGTATATGTATAGCTAGTATTAATTCCTCAAGGAAGTGTTTGAAGCCGGTGTTACGGTTTCCAACTCAATCGCTTTTTGGTTAATGACAAAAAAACTTCTATTAAAGTATTGTCAAACTTCAATTTTTTGTTGGTATTAATACCCTTATTATGGTTTTCAACTCCCCTCAGTTAAATTGAAGTTCAAGCAATTCAGTATCAGATAACCAAACTCCCTTTTGATATAACGAATTAAATATTTCATACTCTTAAATATTGCTACATAGTGTATTAGTTTTGTTAACATAACGGTTTGTATCATCTCAACCTAACCGAGTTAGATTTAGGGTTATATATACGTAAATGATCGGTGGCAAAAATACCCCGCTGAACCCTCCCCAAAGGTGCCGAATGGTAATAGATACTACAGTATCATGACGTAGGCATCGACGGTCTGCCAACATCCGTTGGCTGGGGCACAAATGAGGTTTAACGCATAGGGGACCAGTGTACACAGCAGTTGTGGACAAGGGCGCAGGGATAAGATGATGGTTCCAATTAAAGACACCCTTCTTCTGACAAGGAACTCACAAATTGGAATATATTATATATACAGATGCGGCTTTGAGATCACTTAAGTCTTTTAGGGTTTCGTCTAAGTTAGTGAAAGAATGCCTCGATCTCTTAGTGGAGCTAACATCCTATTTCACGATAAACCTGCAATGGGTCCCAGGCCATAGTGATATCCCTGGGAACTGTGAAGCGGATGAACTAGCCAGAACCACCCTACAACTAGACTCCGGAAAATAGATAATATATATGCCTATGGCTACTTGTAGGTATTTAATCGAAACACATGTTATAAAAATAGCTGAGTTTTGTTAGAATCAATACCTGAGTTGCTGAACAAGCTGGCAAACGTTGAAATATGGGCCACACATGCCGATTATTAAAATTTAAACGGAAAGACATAAGAACTCTGGTGCGAGTACTAAAAGGCCACTATCTAATAGGTAGACATGCCAGTGGAATAAGAACGCCATATAATGATTATTGTAGAAGCTGTCTGGAGGTAGAAGCGGAGGAGACTAATAAACATCTTCTATGTGATTATAAGGCGCTATATAGGAAAATAATCGCAATCATCGGCCGAGGGTTTCTTAACGACGTATCGGAGGATGCACAGATTAAACTTTTCTTACTTATGAACTTCATCAGAAGCATGGGGTGGTTCAGAGAAGAACCAATAGAGTGAGGGAACTTTGGTACCGGTGATAACACAATGGGCCTAGGTGCGTCGTTGGACAGCCACTCTACCCACTTACCTACCTACATAAATAATCATGATAAAGAGACGAGTTGAAATCCGGGTGACTGTCTGTCCGCCCGTCTGTGCAAGGTGTTACTTGAGTAAAACATGGTACCCATGTTTCTTGGCACCGAATGAAGGTTGGTATTGTCGAAGGGCGTAATCGGACCACAACCACAAAACACCGTTAATCGAAAACCAATAAATTGCCATAACTAAGCTCTACAATAAGATACAATACTGTAATTTGGTATAAGGAATCGCATTAGAGAGGGGCATCTGCAGTCCACAATGTTTTTTAAAGTGGGCATTTCCGCGCCCCCTAATAGGTTTAGTGTACATATCTCCTAAACAGCTTAAGCTATGACAACCAAATTCACTAACTAAATAAACACGTCAGAGACTTTGAATTTTACACATAGGATGGTATAATTAAACTTTATAGGAGCCCATACAAAAATTGGATAATGGGCGTTGCACCGCCCACCTTTAGGTGGAACCTATATCTCAGAATCTATTTGACCGATTTCAACCCAGTTTGGTAAGTGACATTATCCTGACATGCATTACGGTGCAATAATGGGGAAAATCGGATTAAAACCAGGACTACTTCCCATATAAGACAAATTTAAATTCCATCTGATTTTTTGGACATACAATTCCGATCCTCTGGTTGACGTTTTACACGTCAACTCAATATATTAAATTTAGCCGGTTCGGTTAAGTTTATGTCAGGAAGTAACTCTATTCATACAACTAATTGAATCTACGACCAATAATATAAGTTAATAAGATACAATTTTGCCTGAAGGTATTTCCCCGGATTTGATCCTTGCAAGTTGCAAGAACATGAAATGTTCGGTTTCACCCGAAATAAGCTCTTTCTTGTTAGCTATAGCCCGGGGGAATCTTCATCATGAAGGCAGGTAAAACCTAAGCGAAGGAGCTTAGCACGCAACCATTCCCACGAATAGGCCCTAATTTTTATCCGGTCGAGGATTTTGGACTCTGAAGTTTTCTCCAAATTACTTAAGAGAGGTGTTCTGCCGCTACAACAACAACAATAAGACTACCTAATCAGTCATGAACGCTTAAGAGGAAACGCTATAAGACATGAAATATCAAAATCAATATTTAGACAGTAATTTAAAAATTGTATTTGTTTGCACTAATACTAGGGATGTAGAGCAGGTCCGCGTCCATGCGGTGCATCCTGAGTAACGCTAAATGACCTGCGGCCTTTCTAAAACTCCTACGGATTTGACCTTTGCTAGACATGAACATAGCTGGGGCTATTAGATGGATCGATTTGAACCCAGGGCTAGTGGTCGTGGTATTCAGTCACCTGAGTATGCAGGGGTGATACCCTGCAGAAATGGCTGATGGGCTAATGCTAAGGAAAATCAGAAATCTGATCAGCATACTAGCACACTTGAGTGGGCCAAAACGGAAAGTGGGGCCGAGCGAGCCCCACACCTCGATGAAACGACAGAGGTCGCATGAGGGGGAATCCTCCCTCGGCAAAAATCCTCGGGTCGGAGCTGCATCGATGTTTAGCGAAATCGCTAAACTCGCTAACTCAATAGAGCTCGGTGTGTATGACCGCAACAGGGGACATGTAGCCATCTCCCATGATATGTGGAAGCGGGAGGGAGGTTAGGCTGGAGAGGACCGAGGAAACATATCGGCGCTGATACTCCTAAACAAAGAGTCTCTCGCTCCTCTCAGCGTTGCAAAGGGGGCCATAAGCTATGGCTTCGAGAAGGTCGTTCTGAGGATACTCCCAACTGAAGCCAGGGCGGATGAGTCGCTCCAGCTGGGGTGGAAGAGAGTGGGAGTGTAACCCACTCGAAAATGGACATCGACCCTATCCTCTCGAATTTGGTGAGCACGGGGGACGGATCGTCAGGTGATGATGGATCTGTCTTCAGTCTCGAGCGCCTGTTCGAGGAGGCTGGGGTCAACAGTACGGACGATGGTGCGGAACTCGCACTGCTGAGAGGAGTTTGGAAGATTAGGATCCTCCAAATTAACTTTCAACACTCAAAGGCGGCTTCGCCTAGGACGACGTTGTCCTTATCCAGGAACCGTGGCTAAGCCGCAACGGTATCTCTGGTTTAAGAACAAAAAGTCATGAGCTCCTGGCGGCAAGCAGCACAGGTAGAACCAGAGCCTGCTTGTTGATCAGAAACGAACTTAACGTTTTTCTTTTGCCTAATTTCAGCAACGAAGATGTCGTCACTGCTAGACTGAAGGACAGTGCTGGAGAACTCTGGCATGTCTCAGCCTACATGCCGCACTACGACGAGGTGGAGCCACCTCTGTAACCGCTGAGAAGAGCTCTGGCTGAGCCCAGGCGCAAAGGAGCCGCAGTCTTAATAGGCTCGGATATCAATTCAAGGCACTTAGTCTAGGGGACCTTGGATATAAACGCAAGAGGTGAGTCACTTTTTGATTTTATTTGTAGTGTAGACCTTTCCATATGCAATAGGGGAAACTGCCCTAGCTTTGTGATAGCTAGCGGGGCGGAAATCCTTGACGTTACATTAGCCTCTAGGGAAATTACTCCCGTGATTTCGTAATCTCCCTTCTCCGATCATAAATATATTGGTTTTAGCTTGAACGCCTCGCGCTCGGAGCTCAAAACCTATAGAAATTTCAGTTAAACCAATTGGGTCCTGTACTGCCGGAAGCTTCGATCAGCTCTTCCAAGTGCATCTATCTGCGGATGCGATTAATGAGCTCGTCGAGGCTTTCAGCTCAGTTAGTAAAACGACTCTTGAAAGCTCCTGTGCTCTGAGAACTCAGAAAAGCAAAGGGAAACCACCTTGGTGGACTTCGAAGCTAACGGAGATCAGATCTTCGAGCATAAGACTTTTCAACAAAGCCCAAAAAAGTGGCTCTAGTGACGACTGGCCATTTACAAGTCCGAGTTGAAGAAAGCCAAGAGAGCCTCGTGGAGGGCCTTCTGCGGTAGTATAGACGGTTGTCATGAGTCCTCACGGTTCAGGCGCATTCTTGCAAAAAATCCTACTCCATTGGGGTATCTGAGAAATGCAGATAGTAGTTGGACAACGAGCAGCGAGGAGTCGTTGAATCTACTCCTGGATGCTCATTTTCCGCTAAATCGCTCTTCTGAAGAAGTGTCACTGGGGGAGCTTGAAGAGGGCTGTACAGCCTTCTTGAACCTTCTAGACTATCGTCACCTTACCTGGGCGTTGAAATCCTTCAAACCCTTCAAGTCCCCAGGGCCTGATGGCATTATACCGGCGCAGCTATCAAGATGTCATGCAGCTGGGTGTTAGATTGGGCCATGTCCCGAAGGCCTGGAGACAGGTTAAGGTTGCGTTTATTCCGAAGGCCAGTAAAAGCTCTAACGTGGGTTTCACAAAAGGTTTCAAACCCATCAGCCTATCTTCGTTTCTGTTGAAAACGTTGGAGACACTGATGGATCTGTAGATTAGGAGCAGAGTACTGACGGGTAAACTGTTAAGGGCGCAGCATTCCTTTATCAAAGGCAGGTGGGTCGACACTGCTTTGCATGATACAGTGTCATGGCTGTCGG